GGTGACCATTGAGATTGAGATTTGCCACATCACCTAATCTTTTATTTAGCTTTATTATATATATAATTTTTTTTATTTATAAAAAATAATAAAAATAGAAGGTATAAATTATAATAACAATAAAAACTAAAAAATTTATAATAATATAAACTTGAAAATAATATGTAGAAAACGGACATTAGGAAAAAAATATTATAAAAATGAATTTTTTATGTTTGAGGCAATATGGTAGCCTTTTGAAATTCCTTAATTTAAAGAAGGTGTAGTTATCATTAAATAACTAATTAATAGTAAAATATATATACACATAAAATTATTGTGTAAGAAATAATTTAAAAAGTCATATTTTTTTAAAAAAATAGAAAATATTTTTCTGGTCATTGAGGCATGCCACATAGGCGGAATGAAGATCTTCATTTATATATATATATTGATTGATTGATTGTGTAATCAATTTTAATTCACTGCACTAAATTTATATAAAAAAAATATATATTCTCTCCCTATTCGTCATTATTATATTATTATTTCTTATTTTATTTATATTTTCTTATTTTATAAAACAAATTATTTTATTTTATAATTGTTTAATATAAAATTATTTTGTATCATAATTTTTTAAATAATATAAATTGCTAGCAAATATTATATACTATGTATAATTATGGATAATACAAATAAAAGTAAAATCATTAATAAAATACAATTAAATAAATATTACATAATTAAAAAATAAATTAAATCCTACAAATATATTTAATTTTCAAGATTATTGCGGTGCTCCCATAAATGCTTTATTATTGCATTATGTAGTTCAAAATTATTTTCTTTGTCCTTATATTTTTATATATCGAGCTAAAAATTGTTGAAATTGAGAATTTCCATCTATTGTCATTTCTATGGTCGGTTAGACCTTTCGACGCATCTAGATTGGTGCATTAAGATCACGTTCATCCTTAATTATCATGTTGAGCATTATAATACATGAAATTAATATATTATGTAACACTTTTTTTTTTCAAAAATACAACGGTCATGCGATAATTGCAAAACGAGATTGTAATTTATATCATTTATAGTAAAATTAACATAAAATCATTTTTTTAAAAAAAATCTATATAGAAAAATCAATTTATAAAAATACAAATTTATATCTAAAATTAATATTATAAAAATATTACATAAAAATAATAAATATATATAAAAAATTAAATTAAAACATATAATTTCTATAATATTTAATTAAACATTTGTATAATGAAATAATATTATAATATTTAAAAATTAATTGATTTGACGAATAGTATTACA